GTTAGGACAACTCAGGTACTTTGACTAACTACTAGTTCATGTAACTGCACAAGCCTGTTAACCTGCACTGGACTAAGTATCTCATCTAGGTCACATCTAACTTGACTTTTCCAGTATGTATAAAATGTATTTTTCTTTCCTGATCATGTTCTGAAATTGACTACACTTGGAGGTTATTATCTGTCTTTCACTTTTTAATGGGAACAGAAGATACTAAAAGCTAAACACATGGATTTTGGTATGAATTCTTGGCCAAACTCTAAAAGGAGTTCATTAAGATGGCATCTGACAACTTCAAAGAAAGAGAGTAATAGCACTTCAGATTGGGCTCGTCACAACATTCTAGATCCTGTCTTGTTCACATTTTACTATAATTCCAAAATCTCCATTTAGGGTATGACTGTCACAGTTACCAAGTTTGAGAGACTTGCTTCTCAAAATATACACCTAACTGTATTCAAGAATCCCCAATACACACCAGTAATTAATAAATACTGAATAAAGTTAGTTTACTTTTTTTAACAGGATTACTAGGTTGGGAGGTATATCCATATATAAAACAAGAATTTTATACCAAAAAAAAAAAAAATTGGTAAGAATACAGTCTCATGACCCAAATAAAGATAGAAAAAAAATTATGTAGATTAAATAGGTATGTAGAGACAATTCCCAAAAAGTAGCTGTTATGGCTACTAAAAACCTAACAAAGAGCTGAATTCTATCCTGCCCTAGCCAAATAAATAAACAAATGAATGAATAAATCAGAAGCTTGATAAAAATAAAAAGAAAACCTGTATTAACAAAAGTTAAAACAGAAAGTGAGAACTAATAGAATTTTTAAAAACTAAGAAGCTGAAAGCATTGACTATAAGAAAAAAAATTAAGGACTAATGAAAGATCTGTAATGATTTTAAAAGAAATGTCAGTAATGAAGCTAAGTAATAACATAACAAATTCAGAGCAGCTTCAAGTCATGTAGATATTGAAATGAAAACCTAAGAAAACCAGTGGAGTATCTAAAATGAAGAAAGGCTAATTCTGTTCATATCTGTTTTACTACCCTTCTTTGTCTCACTATATCTGAGGCCACATAGGTTAAAAAATTTATATGGCGGGGGTGGGGGGTGATTAGGCTAATGAAGGATCCGGAAAGAGGTTTAAGTGACAGCTCTGATAAGGTTCCACTTAGAAAATATTTAGACCTGTAGACAATCTAAATAATGAAATATACAAAAAAAGTCCAATTTCATCTTTAAACTATCAAGAGAACCAAGATTAATACATAAAACTAAGTTAGCAGATGTCTGCTGAACTTAAGATTAGTTTTTAATAATTTCTTTACAAAACTAGACTAGAAAGCAAGATCTGAAGTAACTGGAGGTGCTCACAGGGAAGAAAGACCTGGCAAAGCTTAAGTTCTCATCATAACTGAGTGCTTACATGAGATGAAGACTCTCAACATGTCTTTCCATTCTCTTACAGATGATACATTTACATCTTACAGGGGCACTATCAAATATACAGTTCATTATTGACAGAAGCACCATTCTGCAGTTCAAGACTCTAAGAAAGATATTCTACGGTTCTAGTCAGTATTCCTAAGTTGTGTTCATCAACACAGTCCCAGGCAGCTTTTACTGAACGGTACTGCCAAGCAACACATTAGACTTGAAACGTTTAGAAGGTGTTAGGTTGCAATTTCCTCCAAGAAAGAACATTCTATCTGTGAGACACTCCTTGAGACACAGACTGTTCTTTCTAACTAGAGATGAAAACATTCCATCCTGCAGGAAAGCTCCTTAAAACTGAGGACATAAACAACTTAAAACCTTCAGGAAATCCCTGGAACTGAGAAGACTCACGGCCCACCTCTACACTCCATTAATCTAACATAAGAAGCACTGTTAAGAGACACTCTCACCTAAGACCAGAAACTGTCTGAAAGATGTTCAGATCAGCTGAGCTGCCTTGAAGAGAAACTCTCTAATGCAGTGGTTCTCAACCTTCCTAATGCTGCGTCCACTTAATATAGTTTCTCATGCTGTGGTGACCCCAACCATGAAATTATTTCATTGCTATTTCCTAACTGTAATTTTGCTGTTATGAATTGTAACATAAATATTTGTGTTTTCCAATGTTTTTAGGCAACCCTGTGAAAGGGTCATCTGACCTCCAGGTTGAGAACCCCTGCTCTAATATGCCATGGTGCAGTGTTGTATAAGTTTCCTCCAAGGCTGAATGAAATGTCCCACTCTACAGGGAAGCTCTTTAAACAGGAACATAAACAACTCATGATAGCTTCGGGAACTCCTTAAAATTGACCAGACTCACTAAGCCCCTCCCTGTGAGAGTAAGCAATAGAAGCTGAGTGCCCTCAGAAGGAAGGATGCTGAGCTGCAAAGAAGACTCTGAGAGGAGAAAAGTTGCAAAGGCGACTGAGACCAGACCAGCTGCCTGGAAGAGGTTTAGATCAAATAAGATACCTGGAAAAGATACTTTCCAATCTGTTGAGCTGCCTACAAGCTATGCAATATGCTTCAGGTTCCTAGCTTTGCGAGCTGCCACCCATGTTGGATGATACAGCTGTCTTTGAGTCATTTCCAACCCTCTAAGTAGTAATCCCTTGCCCAAATCCTGTGAGTATCCCTAGTATAATTCACTGGTCCATCATGTTGAACTCTGGTGGTATGCACAACTGTTGTTGATGTTGTTGGTTCCCTATCTGGGATGTGTAAACCTCCCCAGAAATAGTGTTACACGATATAAGGTATCCAAATATTTGACATCTACTTACCTGTCTTGTTACTGTGATTTCATCATGAGCTTCAAATCCTAAAGGGCTTTGCTTTTTGTCAGAATTATCAAAAGTGATTGAAACAGAGGCTTTGGTAATTCCTGCCTGCCCATTTTTATAAACTAGATCTTGTAAATTAGAAGCCCGCACCTATAATTAAAGAAGAAAAGTTCATTGACAAAACTTCATATTGTACAAAAGCAGCATTAAAAATACATGGTTTTTTTTTTTTGGAAAACCCACCTATGTAGTATTAAGTAAAACACAGGCAGTCACATCCATCAGCAAGAAAAACAAGGAGTGCAGACAATAAATAACCTATAATAGTTACCTTTTTCAATAAAACTTTGATTATATTTTGAACTGATTTTTACTAATGTAGTAAAAGTTAATTTGCAAAACTCAAGTAAGTCGTGTCTATGAACTTTACTAGCTACCCTATCCATTAGTACAGCCTAAAAGGTACACAACTCTAAGCTGAGACTACACTGAATAGCGCTGGTGTGGGCATTACTACAACAGTTTAAGAGGGGGAAACTGAGGCAAGGCCTCAAAGTTTCTACCTTTTCATCTAAAGGATGGAATAATAATAGTACTTGCTTAAATGGCTGCACTGTGATATACCATAATCTCCATGAAGTCCAAACATGCAAATAAAAAAAAAATTCAATAGTCTCCAAAGAGTAACAAAGATGCCCCAGCCAAACTTTACAGAAACCAGAAAGTTTACACTTTACCTGAGACAGGTTGGAGATGCCTAGGAGAAAGCAGATGGAGTCCAATATATTGGATTTTCCACTACCATTTAAACCAGTGATAGCATTGAAGAGGGGGTCAAATCCATTGACTTCAGTCCTTTGTGCATAGGACTTGAATCCTTCGAGAATGATTGACTTCACATACATTTTCTATACTGTCTTGGGCCAGTAAGCCTCTGTTGGACAACAAGCTACAAGCCAGGTCTGTGTAAAACAGAAATAACAGCCCATAAGTAGATAAAACAAACAAACAAACAAACAAATCACAGTAAATATGACAGAATACATAGGGATGTAGAACACTGGAAAAATACACTTGCCAAACTGCAAACTACTTCTATTTCTAAAAAGGGCTTCCTCGGATTTAAAAATGACCAGCAGTTAGCCACTGCCTGGAAGTCACCATCTTTATCACTACTGCCCACTTTCCTAGGCTTGTGCTGCACTCTAGTAACAGTGTAGTTGATAAAGACTACTGGTAATTTCACATTTCATTCTCCTCGGCACAAATGTGCTTTCTTGGTACTGGAATCGATACCACTTTTACCGCAGACGTCCTGGCATAAATGTCACCTCAGATGAATCTCTCTGGCTCTCCCTAAGCAAAAGCACACGCACCCTCTCCTTCCGATTTCCTCCATGGCAGTAAAAGACGACACTAAGCAGCATTTGCCTGTCTGTCCAACTCGTCCTAAGTTCCGCTATGCTCTGTGCCTGCAGACGTCCATGAATCTCTGAACGCAAGGCACTCAGGACCCGGGTAGTTAGCGGACCTTAAGGACAAGGTGAATCCATTCTACAGCCTCTTTTTAAAAATTCAGTGTTTCCTCGCTTCCCCCAAGTATTTCCCGACCCACTTTAAGGATAAACAACCGTCAAGACCTCTAATTATCGCTAGAAGTCCCTCCTTGAACCCTCCCCCGCCCCCGGACCCCATCTCCCGCCTAGACACCAGGCCCAGCCAAAGGCCGCACAACGCACCGGCCACAAAGCCGCCCTGGGCGGCCGAGGAGAGCAGCAAAGTTCCTGCACAAGGCGAAGGCGGAGAGCGAGGACACCCGACCTGTATTGGGGTGCTACGGGGCGAACGCCACCATGGCGGGGACAGCATCCGCCGCAGCCCAACAACCGTGCCGGAACTGTTCCTTTGAATTTCGGCGCGAGCAAAGGACCCCGCCTCCGAGGCGTCCGTCCTCTGTTGGTGCCTAGTATATGCCTGACTGAAGCGCTTCATCTTTTGACCCCAGTAAAAATACGGAAACAACATGGCGATAGTAAATAACGTTTTCGACAGTGGATGGTAGGGGCTACAATGCTGTGGGCATGGAAAGTGCAAAGGAAGAAGGGTCGCGCTGACATTCGTGCCAGGCATGCTCGGGCAGCACGTCTCCCCGGTCGGGGCCTCGCGCGTCCCCGGCCCCGCCCACTTTCTTGCCCTTTCCGGCCACCGGCTTCTGTCCTCAGGCTCCGCCTCCGCCAGGTCGATTTTTAGGAGGAGGTTACGCTGTAGAAACACAGGTTGCCCAAAACTGACTTCTGAGGCTTCTTTTTCTTCGGATTACTACGATCCCTGGGAAATGGAGGCTGTAATTAGTTGAATCAGGAAGGCGCTGGCTTTGGGGAGAAGTCTCAAGTTTCCAGAGGGGACCCTTCGCCTGCAATAACGTGAAGTTGGGGAGCAGCTGCTGGGCAAATGGCTGTTACGATTCCCTGTGCCGAAAAGCTGTTTATTGACAAGCCGTGGCTAACCTAACGGTTCAGGAACTCTTGCAGAAGCTTCTTACGACAGTTGACATTTACATAGTTCTGTGTATTGGGTAGCTGTGTTTCAAAGGCTGTCAACAATTCCTCCACAAACATGGTATCATCCTAGTGTTCTCGTTGGTTTTCGTTTCGTTTGGTTCAGATGAGTACTCTGAGTCACTAGGTTAAACGACTTCTAAATCAAGTGACAGATTTTGTTCCCAGGCAGCCTAACTGCAGAGCATGTGTTCTTAAAGCATTATCTACAATTGCTAATTTTACAGTGCTAGTAATAGCTGATCCCGTCAACAGAGTGTATAGTTTTTTTTTTAAAAAAAAACAACATGGTGTTACGGTAATACTAAGTTGGGAAGGGCTTGGCTTTGTTGTTTTTATTGAAAATATTTTTTTTCATGCCGTATATTCTGATTATATATAGAGAGGCCCCAACTCCTCTCAGAGCCTCACTCACCCAAACCCACACCCTTTCTTTTCTCATTAGAATACAAACAGGATTCTAAAATAATAATGATAATAATAAAATGATGAAAACAAGCCAGAATAGGAAAAAATAAACAGGAAAAAAGAGCCAAAGAAAAGGCACCAGAAACATCATATGTTGTGACACATTCGAACACACACACACACACACACACACACACACACAAGCAGAAACCATAATATATAAGCAAAAGATCTGTAAGATTAAAAAAAAAAAAAAAAAAAAAAGCTGTCCAGACAAACATTGTGAGAGAAAAACTCTTTTTTTTTTGGTTTTTCGAGACAGGGTTTCTCTGTGTAGCTTTGTGCCTCTCCACCACCGCCCGGCTGAGAGAAAAACTCTTTAGGAATACCATTGAATTTGTTTTGTGTTGTCCATTTATTGCTGGTCATGGGGACTGCCCTTATGTGTGGTTTTTATGCCCAGTGAGACTTCACTGAAAAAATAATCTGTCCTTTGCAGGCAGTTTTCAATTGGATATAGTTTCTCAGTTAGGGATAGGAGATTGTTTCTACTTCCTCTTTCAGCACTGGGACCCCATCTGGCTTAGATCTATACAGGCCCTGTGCATGCTGCCTCAGTCCTATGAGTTCATATTTGCATCAGTCCTGGTCTGTCTTAGAGACATTGTTTTCCTTGGTGCCTTCCATGGCTCAAAGAATCTTTCTGCTTTCTCTTCCCTGAACCCTGAGGAGAGGGATTTGATGGAGACATTCCATTTAGAACTGAGTGTTCCAAGGTCTCACTGCACATTGTCCAGTTGTGAGTTTCTGTATTTGTTCCTATCTCCTGCAGGAGGATGCTTCTCTTGATGATGGCTGAGCAATATACTCATCTTAAGTATAGCAGAATGTTGTTAGGAGCCTTGTTGCTACAGTCCTTTAGCAGGACAGTAATATTTGGTTGTCTCCTAGATCCATTTTCTATCTAGTCTCAGGTTCTTGGCCACTCAGGCAATATTGACCATGAATTCTGTCTCATGGAGTGGACTTTAATTCCAATCAGACAGTAGTTGGTTACTCCCACAACTTTTATACCACTACTGTACCAACTTATCTTAGAGGCAGGTCACTATTTTAGACCAAAGTTTTGTAGCTGTGTTAGTGTTTACCTTTCTGATCTTTTAGTGTGCAGAGTACCTTTCCATACCATGAATACTGTTCAGTAGAGGTGAAGGCCCTAGGTAGGCACCAGCTTGACTTCTCTGTGATTGGTGAGTTGTGTTGGTGTTGTCTTCAGTATTTGGACCTTACCATCAGTTTTTAGAGAGCAAACAATAGCCTGTGTTACTTGGAGGTTTCTATAGGGCATCTTTGACCAACTTCATAATTTGATGGAACCCATTCCCAGCACTAGAGGTTTCATTTGTTGGTGAGAGATGTCTAATTGGCGCTTTGTCTCCCTCATTATTAGGTGATTCCAATTTAGATATCTTTTTTATATATAATTTATTTTTATTTTATGTTCATTGGTGTTTTGTCTGCATACATGTCTATGTGAGGTTGTCAGAAGCCTTGGAATTGAAGTTACAGACAAGTGCTGGGAATTGAACCCAGGTTCTTTGGAAGAGCAGCCAGTGCTCTTAACCACTGAGCCGTCTTTCCAGCCTCTTATATATCTGAAATATATTTGTTAAAGGAGCTTCTAATGTATCAGGTTTCCTCAAGACCCCCCAAATGGCCCTGTGTTTTAGCTGTCCCACCCTTTATCCCTCCCTTACTCCCTTCTTGCTTCGTCCCTGTTTGATACTCCCGTTCCAGTGCTCCTCCACCCCCTGTTCATCTGTAACTATCTATTCTCTTTTTCTTCCCGAGAGAAACCCTTCCCTCCCATCTAGTCCCTTAGTCTATACTTAACCTCTGTGCTTATATGGATTGTAGTTTCTTTACCAAGAACTTCACAATTAACATCCACATATAAGGGAATACATACCATATTGGTCTGCGTTACCTCACTCAGGATGACTTTATCTAACTCCATCCATTTGCCTGCCAAATTAATGATTACACTTTTAAACAGCTGATTGATATTCCATTTTATAAAGGTACCACATTTTCTTTATTCATTAATCAGTTCAAGAACATCTAGGGTGTTTCCAATTTCTGACTCCTATGACTAGAGCAGCAATGAACATAATTGAGTTAGACTAGTACAAAGTGCTTAAATTTGGCTTTATCATGGACTGTCTTATTTTCATCTATAGTGAATGAAAGTTTTGTTGGGTATAATAGTCTGGGCTGGCATTTGTGATCTCTTAGAGTCTGTAGCACATCTGTCCAGGCCCTTCCAGTTTTTAGTCTCCATTGAAAAGTCCAGTATAATTCTAATAGGTCTGCCTTTATATGTTTCTTGGTCTTTTTCCATTGCAGCTTTTAATGTTCTTTCTTTGTTTTATATTTAGTGTTTTATTATTTGCCAAGGGGACTTTCTTTTCTAGTCCAGTCTATTTGGTGTTTTGTATGCTTCTTGTACCTTGAAATACTTCTTTAGGTTAGGGGAATTTTTTTTATGATTTTTTTAAAAAATATTTTGTGTGCCTTTGACTTGTGTTTCTTTTCCTTCCTCTATTTCTATTATTCTTAGATTTGTTCTTTTCATAGTGTCAAAGATTTCCTGGATGTTTTGTGCCAAGATTTTTTTAGATTGAATATTTTCTTTGACTGAGGGATCCTTTTTTTTCCTGTTGTATCTTTAGTGCCTGAGATTCTCTTGTTCATCTCATGTATTCGTAAGGCTTGCCTCTGAGGTTCCTGTTTGAGCTTCTAAATTTTTAATTTCTAGATTTCCTCAGTTTGGGTTTTATTAATGATTCTATTTCTACTTTCACATGTTAAGTTGTTTTCTTCCTTTAATTTCACTGTTTGCTTGTGTTTTCATAGAATTCATTAATGGATTTATTCATTTCCTCTTTGAGATCTTTGACTATATTCGTAATAGCTACTTGAAGTCCTTGTCTTGTGCTTCAGCTGTGTTGCATTTCTCGGGGCCTCCTGGAGTATGGTTTCTGGCTTCTGGTGAAGACGTACTGTTCTAGTGGTTATTGTCAGTGTTTTTATGTTGGTGTCTAGACATCTGGGTTTGGGATGATTGTAATTCTAGGTGTTGATACCTGGCTTTGTCTTTGTTGTGGGGATTTTCTATTCCTTGGTTTTTGTTTCCCTTTCTGGATCTTAAAAGAGTATGGTAGGTGTGGGTTGCCAGAGTCCTTGCCAGGTGTGGCTACTGGGGGGTCCCTAGTAGAATGTGTTTCTAGGTGTTAGGGTCTGACAGGAAGGGATAAGGAGGATTGGCTAGAGTGGGGTGTGTGTAAGAGGATCCACATGAGGAGAAAAGTTGGGCCTGCCTAGAGAGTCTGTGGATTCCCTCCCCAGGGAGTGCAGTCAGAGAGGGAAGGCAGGTCCTTGCAGGTGGTCTGCTCTCAGGCTGGGGACAAGACTGGAGAATTTCCAGTGGTGAAAAGGGAGGAAATTGACCATCACCTACTTGATTCCCAAGCCAGCCTTGTCCAGTGGGTTCTCAGGTAGAGTGTCCTGGGTAGTGGAGGCTTACACAAGGATGGGGTGCAGCTAAGTTTGGTTAGGGTCTGTGGAGTCCCTAGGGGATGGAGGCAGCTCGGGAATATGGGCCTCTGCACGTGGTCTGCTGGGGTTTAGCTTTATAATGGGGCTTCTGTTGTAGGTGACTGTCTTTTGGGGTTTCTTGTGCTGTTTTCAAACACCATGACCAAAAGGAACTTGGGGAGGAAAGAGTTTATTTCACTTGCATTTCCATATAATAGTCATCATCAAAGGCGGTCAGGGCAGGAACTCAAACAGGGCAGGAACCTGGAGGCAGGAGCTGATGCAAAGGCAACAAAGGAGCGCTGCTTACTGGCTTGCTGTGGCTGGCCTAGTCTGCTTTCTTAGAGAACTCAGAACCACCAGCCCAGCGGTGGTATCAGCCACCATGGGCTTGGCACTCCCATAGCAATTGCTGATTAAGAAAATAATTGCCAGCAGCCAGACCTTATGGAGGTATTTTCTCAGTTAGGGTTCCCTCTTTTCACATGACTAGCTTATGCCAAGTTGATATAAAAACTAGCCAATACAGTGAGGTATAAAAACGTGAGGCATGTGTGCTATTTTAATATAGTACTACAGACATCTCATGAACAATAGGAATTTACTGCCCCTGGTTTGTGGAATCTGGGAAGTCCAATGACAAAGTACTAGCAGAGTCAAGGCTACTTTCTGGGTGGCAGTTCATACTTAGCTGCATCCTTATTGTTTGAAGCAACAATTCTCAACCTGTGAGTAGCAACCCCATTGGGAGGTTGAACAACCCTTTGATAGGAGTTGCATATCAGATACTTACATTATGATTTATAGCAGTAGCAGAATTAAAGTTATGACGTAGCAACAAAAATAATTTTATGGTTGCGGGTCACCACAACATGAGGTATATTAGAGGGTTGCAGCATTAAGAAGGTTGAGAACCACTGGTAAAGATACAAGTTTTGCAAGACCTATTTTATAAAGGCCAATAAATCCCTAATCAACTGCCCCACAAACTCCACCTGTTAATACTGTTGCTTTGGATTTAGGATTTGAGAATGTGAACATTGAGGCAAGAAGTTTAAATCATGGCATTTTGGGGTATGTATTTTAATATTGTCTTCTTGGTCTTACAGCAATTTTGAACCAATTTTAAATGACCAAGAGTAGGTCTTTTGTTTTGAAATTGTTTTTCAACTTTAGTTAAGTTTTATGGATTTTTGTTTAAGAAATAGTACATTTATCTATACTAGCATGCTACCTACCTTCCTGTGGTATCAGCTAATTTGTCCTGTGGAATTAGCTAAAATCACTTTAATAAAGATATTTTGTCCACTGTAATTCCTATAGCTACTGAACTCCAATGAGTTCACTTCACGTACTCTGTTGAATTATAAATTTTTACCTTCAGCTCTGCTGTATTACTTGAATCACTTTTTTTATGAATAAGGAATTTTAATTTTTGAATGGATAATGTAATGTTGATTTTTCCAAATTGCATAATCTATTTGAGGGATAAAAATTTAAGTATCAAGACAAATAGACATCAGTATTTTGGCTATTTTAATAGATTAATAGCTAAGAGATATCCTTAGGTCAAATGAATAAAAAATTATAGGTAGGTGTACTTTTTTATTAGGCTATATTTATCACATAAAATGATGGATTTCATTATGATATGTTCATACATGTATAGTATGTATTTTGTTCATATTTCCCCTCCCTTAATGTCTCTTGTCTATTCCTCTGCCCTGGTGTTAAACTCCTTCTTCCCAAGAGCTAGCTTTCTTTCTTCCTTTCTTCCTTTCTTCCTTTCTTCCTTTCTTCCTTTCTTCCTTCCTTTCTTTCTTTCTTTCTTTCTTTCTTTCTTTCTTTCTTTCTTTCTTTCTTTCTTTCTTTCTTTCTTTCTTTTTAGATCTAGATTCCACATATAAGGATATAAGAAAATATAATAGTTTTCTTTCTGAGTCTACTTCACTTAACAAGATGATCTCATGTTCCATCTATTTTCATGCAAATGACATGATTCTTTTTTCTTGTGCATGAAGAAATCTAAGTCAACATACAAAAGAGACTTGGGCATCTGTTTATTGTGGTGCTCTGAATGCACTTTTTCTGGATAAGGACATTGAGGTGTTTAATGCCCATCCTAACTACTTATTAAAATTGCTCACAAAACTTGTGATCTCTGTCAGTTTTAGTCTTGGTTCATTCCAGAAATAAGAATTCCTCCTAAATGTGGTTCAGAGGAACTTGATTAAGGGGTGAAAAGCTTATGGCTCTGCCTTCTGAGATCACAAGTAAAGAATGAAAAGGTACAAGCCAATGACACTCCCTCATTTGTAGAGGAGACGGCTGGGAACAGACTATTGAGTAGATACAATGTAAATGTCTTGTTACATCACTGTGAGCTAAAAACTGGTGGATGCTTTAAACTGTAGAAGCCTAAAGAGCTGGTAGACTTTAGTCATTTTGTGGGAAGCAGTAGCATGAATACTTTCAGGTTCCAAAGAACTCAGGACAAATGGCTAACTGAGGTGCTGATTAGCATACCAATGCACTGACTGGCCACCAGGGTTACTCAATACCCTGACACCTCTCAGCTCTTCTCACCACACCCCTATGCTAAACCTCTCCAGCCCAGTGGCTTGGCTTCCTTTCCCCAGCTTCTCTTTCCTATAAAAATCTGCCATTTTGGCCACATGCTCTCTTTTGTCCTGTTGGTCCTATTGGTTCACTTAGTTTCCCTAGATGCTCTATTGGTCCCTCCTTTCTCCCCTCCCTCTCCTTTCATGGCCTGGTTCAGTTTATTGGCCATGTTCAGTCTGCTGTTTTCTCTCCTTCTCTGTGCTCTACCAGATGCTTCTGACTGTATTCTTCCTCATATCTACAATAAAAACCTCCTCAAACATACCTGGGAGTGGTCATGTCTCCATTTCATTCAAATACCAATTTGGCCTGAGTTTAGGTCCCTAAAAGGTAGTGGGACTTCTCAGGTTGCTGAGGGTGACAGAGTGGAGTTTTGCCATCTTCCCTGTTACCCTTATTCTGTCACTTATGGCTAGACAAATAAATGTATTATAATTTCAATGATGGCATTCATTTAAAAACTCTTTGTTTGTTTGTGTTTTAATTGCCCATTCTTTTGTTATGACTTTTTACTGTGGCTCATTGATCAGATCCCTCACAAAGGGACCAATCAAATGTTGGGTGAGTCTTGTGTTCCTGAAGATATCAGGGGTCATTCATTACTTTGCTTTTACTGACTCCAACTTACAGATTCTCACATTCTGTATTGGTGAAATTATTAAGGCTACCCACTACAATTCTGTGTTCAACATAGCTATTCCTAAAACCCAGTGATTACTAAAGAAGTCTGGTACCATCTCGTAAGAAAATATTTTTAAGCATTACTAACAAAATCTAGTCTAATCTTACACATGTCATATTTATCATTCCATCTTTCCACTTTTTGTTAGCTTATAAGCAGAGCTATCATATCATCCCTCTTTACTTTGTCATACTCTTTCCTTTTATTGCCTCTTCCACAAGTTTCTTTCTCTTAATTATTCTCCCTGCCATGGTGGCCCCTTGCTATGTTTCTTTGATTGGTTTTTATTTTAAATCAATGGCAGACCTACCTGTCCTTCCAACAGTTGGTTTCTTTCTGTTAGCTCAATTCTTATCAGATTCAAAAGAGATCTGCACACGTGATTATTCCCACAAGATGTGCAATTTTTTCCCCTCTATTTGTTACACAATTTTATGGGCCTCCATGGTCAAAATAGCTCTTCTTCACATTCTAGTTTCATTCTTGTTTTTAAAATCTAAGACAGGGTAGCAGCCTGTCTCTGCCCTTTCTGTGGTCCTAGTATTTGTTTTGTTAATCCCAATGATAGGAGGAGAAAGACCACAGACCAAAAACATCATGGCCAAATTAATTCAAGTGAGCTTTTTTTATTTGTGTACATAGGCTGCCTCCCATTAGGATGGGGTTTGAGAGATCAGCATTGGATGTGAGAGACAAGGCTTTATGGCTCAGGGGTAGGAGGTTTCCAAATAGGATATTTGGTGGGCAAAAAATAGGTGGGGTAACAGGGGCAGAACATAGGCATAACAAGCTATTTTTAATGACCTCCTGAAACAAAGACATGGTTGCAAGGTGGGCATAGCAAGGTAGTCAAAATAACATGTAGTGATAGGTGATCATATAACCTTTTAAAACAAAGGTAGGATTGTAAGATTGTTATAAATAACTTTTTGAAACAAAGACATGCTTGCTATTACTGGAACAGACTGTACAAATGTATTTGTAGGTAAGATTACAGGTGGAGCAATGACCAATCCTTGAAAAAAGCGGTTTAATCATAAACAGGAATGAACCTACTTTGTCTTTACTATAAGGTGGTCTTTATGCCTAAAAAGGGAGGCAGACTGGTCCTCTCCTGTAAACATTTTTGGTGAACATTTTAATTAACCCTGACCTCTTTGGCTGAAATACTTTTTATTATCTCTTCTCAAACTGTATTTGTTGTCTGTTTCTTCTGATTATCATCTGTTCATGACTGTAACCAAGCACCAACTGAAGACAAAAAAAGAAGTGCTTCATAGTTTTTCTAATGAATAGATGAATTAGTGAGTAAATTTAGAAGTCAGTTATGAAATAGTTAATGTACCATCTTATTTTTAACTTTGATATTACTGATGGATTGTTTGTATCTCCATCTTTTTCTTTTCTTTTTGTGGGGGGAGGGGTTTGAGACAGGATTTCTCTCTGTAGACTTGGCTGTCCTAGAACTTGCTCTGTCGACCAGGCTGGTCTTGAACTTATAGAAATCTGCCTGCCTCTTTCTCCCAACTTCTGGGATATTAAAGGCATGTGCCATCACCACCTGGCTTCCATCTATCTTCTTATAGGCACTTGTTTATTCTTTTAACTCTTTATCCACACTTTCTTCTGATATATATTCCTTTTGTGGTAGACCGTTTTGACACACCTCAGTGTCAAACACTTAGTAGGAATATACCAAACATTGGTTAATATGAACAGGTTCATAGTATTTGTGTGAGCCAGGGTTCAGTAAAATCACTGAATTAGACCACTCTTTGGGTAGAGAGAAAGTCTTATTGGGGAATCAAACCACCAGGCTGTCTCTTGGAGTGTGGGTAGAAAGAACAGCAAAAGAAGGGAAAACCTTGTCTATTTTAAGAAGAGGGGTTCATGGGAGCTTGAATAGCTTGGGAGTTAGAGCAGTGGGAGGTGGGGTGCAGGCCAGAACAGCCTGAGGGCTAGTGTTGGGCCTTTGATCTGTTACAGTCTTGTTTGAGTTGGCTGGAAACTAGATGCCCATTGCCAGTAGTTGGCTGTTGGGGGCAGATAAGTGAAGTAATGGCTTTTCCTGACAAACATAAACTCACTTCAGAAGACTTCTGAGGAATGCTAAGATTTAGGATTTGTTTACTTGCTAGTAATTGTATTTACCCAATCAGAGTGCAGCCTGAGCTAGGCCAGACTGCCATTTAGGACATTGTCATTGGCACTGCTACTTTGGGGTCCAATTTAAGAATGTGCAAAATGTAAAGACTTAAAATGCACTGAATACTGAAATATACAGTATGGCCCACAAAATATACAATCTTTGAAGGTTCTGAAGCTTAGTAATAGTGGTCATTTTTCTTAGATCTCATATTGAAGGCCTTGAAAGCTCTTTGCTGGCTAAATGAACAGACTGTGTAATGCCATCACTGGCTACCGCAGCATTCATAAAGTTGCATCTACTGTAGATGAATCTGCCAACGTATGCTTCAGAGAACTCTCAGCATCACATCCTTCTCCACGTGTCGTTTGTTGGGGGGAGCTAGAAACAAGCCTTTCCTATGCTGTAGGACAGCTGTGGTTTCATAACAAAAGACTAAAATTCTAAAGCAGGCATTGTAGACACCTGCAATCCCAGCCCTTAGGTAGAAACAGGTTCAGAAGTTCAAGGTCATTCTCTGTGATAATTGAGTGAGTTTGAAGTCAGCCTGGTATACACATGATCTTGTCTTAAAAATAAATAAAAATCAGTAAGACTGGAATCCAAGGCTTACCTCCTTAGCAGCTGTCACTGCATGACTACCCCTTCTTTGTGCCCTTTATTATGTAGACAGACTCCTGTTAAATGTTCTCTAGGTTATTTCCCACTATCTCAGTTTCTCTCATGTTGTTTTTTTTTTTTATAAATTACACGACAAAAGCAACTCCAAGGATAAAGGGTCTTATTTCACCCAGAGTACAAGTGTAAAGTCAACTATGGTAGGGAAGTCCAGGCAACAGAGGCTTGAAGAAGGTGGTCACATGCTATCCACAATCAGGAAACACAGAGACGAGTACCTATTGCTGCTAAGTTCCTTTTCTAGAACATTTGCGTAGTCAATGACAACAACCTGGAAATGTTGTCTGCTCTGGGTCAATCATCCCACTTCCTTTGAAAATAACCAAGATAATTCCCTATTGGCATTCCTGGACGTCCACCTGTAAGTACACTGTTATTGGTGTTAGTTCTGGAAATATAGAATACAGCCAGTTCCTTTCAGAATTACTAATGAATGTTTGTTGAGTGGGCAAGCAACTATATAAACATACACATAAAGATGGCCAGTCTTTCCAGGCTACAGAGCATCCATTTCTTGTCCATATTTTTCAGTTTCTTCCCACATTTAAATTTCTTAATGATTATCTCCACAATTCATCAAAAAATAAAGTGCATGGGAAGTTAGAAGTCATGTTGGTCACTACTTCCCCTCTCTTTCTCATTCTGACCATATCTACACATTGATTTCTGCTTCACCTCTATCCAACTGTGGGTAGATGACAGATTGGGACTCCTACACTTCAGTTGGTTGCCTTTAAACCTCTACTCTTAATCAGATAGAGAGTGGTTTTGCCCTTTGGACTTTGATGGTCTTCAGAATATGATTAGATACCATCAAGACATTTTTTTGGAGTCTTGAGATTTTTTTTTTTTAAACTGTTGCCATTTGTATGACATAGTGCAGTTCAGGTGAGGTATCAGCATCAGTGCTTAGTTCTGATATCCCTTTTGAATAGTTAATAAAAATCATGTCTCTGTGTTCTTTCTGGCACTTCAAGAAATCCTCTCCTAGTCTTCCTTGGGCAATTGCTTGGGGAAAAACACAGGTTTTTATGAAAATAAGTGACGTATAGACCTAGTATGACCTAGGTACACATAAAGGCCAATACATTATAATATTAAGGCAATTCATTTATTTGCCTACATGTGTAAAGCATTTGTTTTGCAACCAGAATGTTGTTATAAATGGTGTTCAGATGATTTTTACAAAAACAAAATCTTTTTGAGGCTAAAAGTAAAAGTTTCCACACTCTAGGATAAAGAATAATGTTTGCACTTTTTTTTGTTTGTTTGTTTTAATGTTTGCACTTTTAAACATTTTTCCCTTGCTGTCCCTCTTTGGGAAATTTAAATAACGTTATTTTTGGACTTATGTTATTTAAGATTATTGTTAATAGTAATCTTATTGCTCAAAATCATGACTTGTGCTTCACTAAGTCCCAATCACTTTTCCTAAGCCACTTCATGAAGCACTATTTTATTGTTATCATCTCTGTTTTATAGATGAGGGAGGGAAGTCTCTGGTCTAGACTTTGAACATAAGCACTGCCTAGACTAAAAGGCCATCCATTCATTCACAAAGTATCTGAAACCTTACATTGTCAATGAACCTTAACAATTTCTGCCACATACATTTTACATCCTGGTGGATATCAGTTCTTATTGATTTAAAGCACAAATGTTTACAGTAATCTTAGGCTACCCTTGCAGTGGTTATTAACTTTAATACTTGAGGCCACTGCTCTTCCCATGTGACTCCCAAAGTCCTCAAGTCATTGAAACCCCAACTATTTTAGCTCACCAGCTGGTCCAACATTTCCAATCTAGTATGTGTTTATAGTTGGTGCCCAGGTTTCAGACAAGAACATAAAATTGGAATCATTGTAAACAGTGTAGAATTCTTATTGTAAAAGCAATGTTCATTAAGAATAAAAACCATAACAAGTTAATAGGCAACTTTACAAATCTTTATAAAAACCCAATTGAATGTAGTATAGGTACAGTGCTGAGCAAGGGAGAAAAGAGGAGATGTTCCCATTAGTGCTGGTTGGTGGCATCTTTTTATACAAAGAAATGTTGTCTTCAATTCTGCTTGGAAGACTAATTTGGAGTAATTTTTATTTTGTATATTTTATGAGTTAATGGGATCTAGGAGTATAATAACCTGGTGAGAATTTTTTCTGCAAATGGCAACAAAGTTAGTCTTATTCATGAAACTCATAAATAAGCTATAATTCAGCATTTTATGTCAAGGGAAAATAAAACCAGGGTCATGCTGCTTAAGAGGATAAGGGAATTAAACAAAACACTGGGAGATCCATAGCAGATTTATGATGAAGATACATTCTAACTGGAAGCTTAATTGTGATTTAAATTACAGGTCAAGCTGTGCAATGTGTTTGCTGTTTAGAGGAAGATCTTTGGGGAGACAGAGCCTGCGTGATTAAAGAGGAAGCAAGAAGCAAATGAGAAAACAGACTGTGGTTTCTGCTTTTCCTTTGAAATTTCAAGCCGCTCTAAGTCAGATTGCCCCCTGAGTTTCTAATGATGGCTCTTGTGAGGTTGCCTTCTTTTACTTTGTTTTTCCAGAGCTGTTATTTGGCCTGACAGCAGCAAAAATGATGTAGGCAGTCTGTCCGCCAGCAAACTAATGTGGGAAGCACAGATAAGGCATTCTTAGCCTTTCTAGAACCCTGACATCCTACCATTTCAGGCTGATTCACACAAAATGAGCAAGTCGTGCAGATGGAAGAGCCTTTGAAGAATTATAGCCACTCATTTCTACAAATGGGGAAAATAAGGCTTCTGGTGATTTCCCCAAATTTACTTTTTATCTCTAGTAACTTCAGGTCTAATGAGGCAGTAAAACTTGTATACAAATAATTTTAATTGTAAGTGTAAAGAAATTGCTTTCCTAGAAAATAAAACTTAAGACAAATAACCCAAGGTTGAGCCTAGAAAGGGTTTGGAATAGGAAAAGGAGACATAGTAGCCCAGAGTTACCTCCCAGTTTTGCCTTCTTCTTTGGTAAAGGTTCTCAATAATTGATACCATGACCAAACTGCAGCCATGGCTAGGGATTAAGTCAATGATGGCAGACCAAAAGTCTGAAAAGGAGTTGAAATGATCTATTCTGTTTAAAGCACTGAAGTAAAGAATAAGACTAAACAAGCCTTTGCTAAAGCTTTGTGACTAATGGGGAACAGTTTGTAGAAGAAGATGAAAAGAGAACATAATCTAGCTTACAAAACACTTTGTATCTGTTGACAAAATAATCTGGGATGCACAGGATTGGTGTTATCTGTATAAGACCCTAAAAAACACATAAGACCTAGAATGTTCTTATTCATTCCTTAATTATTACACTGCTCCAGTCTGTCATTTTGGATTTTTTTTTTCTCATAGCTGAGGAGCAGTTGATTCTACCATCATCTGCTTACAGAGCCTTTTCCTCAATCAAAACAAACCTCTACTATGGGATTAGTATAGAGCACAAGAATGTCCACAAGAATAAGTTTCCTGGAATGGTTTTCCCAGGTCATAGTTGAGCTATATCTTTATGGGAGTTATACTTTTTCTAGTTGGAGACAGAAATAATAGCCAAACATACATACCATAGTAGGCAAAAACTGAAGAAATACTTTTAATAGGAAATGATGTGGTGTTGAGTTGCCCATCCTATTAGAAGTGTTTGGGGTTGGGGATATTGCAAATGTCTGCTGTGCAGGCATGAACATTTGAGTTAGATTCTCCAGCACCCATGTAAAAAGTCAGGTTCAGTGGCATAAAGAAATATATATATATATATGAAAATAAAGTATAGGGCAATAGAGAACACTACCCAGTGCTGTGGGATGTTCTGTATGTCCTGTGGGAGCCCGTCCTCGGGTTCTTCGTGGCTTTACCCAGCAGGTCCACATAGAGGATGATTAGGACCACGGGCCTGAGTGCAGGTGTCTGAGATGGTCTGCACTTGGCTTTGCTGTGGGATGGTCTGTATGTCAAATTGCTCTGATTGGTCAATAAATAAAACACTGACTGGCCAGTGGCTAGGCAGGAAGTATAGGTGGGACTAACAGAGAGGAGAAAAGAAAGACCAGGAAGGCAGAAGGAGTCACTGCCAGCTGCTGCCAGGACAAGCAAAATGTAAAGCGTGGTAAGCCACGAGCTACATGGCAAGGTATAGATTTATGGAAATGGATTAATTTAGGATATAAGAACAGTTAGCAAGAAGCCTGCAACGGCCATATAGTTTGTAAGCAATATAAGTCTCTGTGTTTACTTGGTTGGGTCTGAGCGGCTGTGGGACTGACGGGTGACAAAGATTTGTCCTGACTGTGGGCAAGGCAGGAAAACTCTAGCTACAACCCAGTGTTAATCTTTGTCACCCCCATTTGTACACATGTGCACATGTACCCACACATACATTTGTACACACTTTTAAAAAATGATAAAATGGAAAAAATTGATATTACTCATATAGTAGAGGCGTGTTGCAGCATTCAGAAACACTGTTGGGACAGGATCCTTCAAGTTGAACATGTAGTAACTACTGACACGGGACCACTGAGCACCCTTCCCCAGACCTTGCCTTCACTGAGAGAGGCTGTCCAACTGGGATTACCCCTCCTTCTCTGTGGTGATCCATATCTGAGACTGTTTGATGTAAGCATGTACAAGCTCTGCTTCACACACTGCAATACTCAAGCGTCCTCTGAACAGCCCCTGTCTCCATCAGGTGAGGCCTTTGTTCTGACCCCACCACAGTTCAAATTCTGCTGACCAATTCTATCTTCTTCACTTGGGCACAAATATTTTGGATGGCTCTCCCTAAAAATCTTTCTAAATAAAATTTTCTCATCAAGTGTTTACCCTGAGGAAATTATCAAAGACAACTCCATATGTAATTTGGAACACAATTTTAACATAATTTAATGTAGAGTTTGGAAAGCCTAAAGAGTTCATGTGATTCAGTCATTAGAAGCGTTATGTGGTCTCTATAGTAACAATTTGGCATCCCAACTTCTGTGCTGAATTGCTAAAGCAATTTAGATTCCACTGATAAGGAAATGTAATGGAGAGAAATTGTACCTGAGCTGTGATTTGTCTGCTATCAAGCTTTGCCAAACTCATCCATCAACTGTGGTCACTAAATGTATCAGCAAGGCTATTTCAGGAAGTGCTGCAGGGGGAAAACAGATGACTAAATATCAAGGGATTAAAAGGTAACAATCATTTGTTTTCTATTGATGCTACATTTGTGTTTCAGGTCATAAGAGGATGACGGTATTTCTGGTTAAACACTAAAGAAGCAGGGCTAATGGATTAGCCACCGAGGATCCTGTGAGTCTATTACAGGGAACAAGAATTCTGGGAGGCTTTTGGACCAGAAGTTAAATGCTCCACCCAATGTAACACACATTACTCAACTTATAATTCACTGTGATTAATAGCTATTCATCACATGGAGCTCAGAAATCCAAATCCCATATGTGCCTGAATAGGAGGGAGGGGGCTAGGACTAGAGTATTTGGCAGATTGTTGGAAAACAGAAAAACTGAGGAGAAACTAGGGTAAACAGGTAGTTGAATTCTCAATTAAATAAACAGGAGATTAGTAATAAATAACCACTGATCTCCCATATTAATCAAATCATACTTGTATGTTTTGAATTTAATATGTTATGTACCTTTTATTTACAAAATATCACACTTTCAGTGCATGACTTTGAATTCCTACACTTTCTGTTTAAAGACATTTACATCTAGTTAAAGATATGGACATTCAAAATATGTAGGGCAAGGATAAAGAGTGGATGGCAGTGGGCAGTTCAATGGGAATAACACAGGAACAGCAGGAGCACATGAAGTTACACTTCTCACAGACGTACTTGAAAATGCCCTTTAGTCTGCGCTATACAAAAGGAGTAGATTAAGAAAAGCAAATATCGCATTATTCTTTTTAAATCCACTTGTTTTTTTATTTTCCATTCAAGAAATTTCTATTTAAATTTTTGTAGCTACGATAAATAATTGTAAACTGAGAGCTAATATCATTCTCCTTGAGGTTAGCAACTTGCTTTTTTGGTATTCTGTACAATCAGCTCCTAGCTAATGAGGATTTATAGTGATAATTATAATAAATCGTTCCTTTAATGCCTCTTACAGCTTGTAAAACAAGTTTACACATACTATTAATGTTATTTCCTCAATATGGTTAGATGTAAGATGAGTTCAGGGGGCTTAGAAAATATTCTCATGTAATAAATCAAGAAATTGAGAATGAGAGGATTAATTTCATTAAGTTATTCTTGCAGCTATTTTGTATCTAGAAACAGTCTACCCTGAAACAATTGCTTAACACAATAATTCACTTATTTTGCTCACTGGAGATTTGCCTTGGTTCAATTTATCTTTTTTTTAAAAAACAACAACAACATATTTTGATAATTTTCCCTCCCAGCTCCTTCCAGGTCCTCCGATTCTACTTGATACTTTTCTCCCTCTTAAAACAAACAAGCAAACAACAACAAAAAAACCAACCAACAAACAAAACTAAACTAAAAGCCCTACAATAAAAATGAAGAAGAAAGTACACACACACACACACACACACACACACACACACACACACACACACACCAAAATGAAAGCTATTTTGTGTTACCCAACTGTTCCTAAACATGATGCCTACCCTGAGGTGTGGTTGATATACCCAGTGGCACTCCGTTAGAGAAAACAGATTTTCTCTCCCCTAGTAGCTATCAATTTCAAATAGCTTTTTGGCTAGGGTTTGGACTTTGTGCCAACTTCCTTTTTTCCATGCTGGGATTTTGTCTGGCTTGAACTTGTGAAGGTCTTGTGCATGCTGTCACAGTTCATATGTGCCTCAGCTCTGTTATGTCTGAAAATTGCTGTTTCTCTGGAGTTGTCCACCACCTCTGGCTCTTACATTCTTTCCACCTCCTCTTCTGCCTAGTTCCCTGAGCCTTGAGGGGAAGAGTATGATAAAGACATTCCATTTAGTGCTGAGTGCTCCAAAGTCTATCACTCTCTGCACATTGTTCAGTGTGGGTCTTTATATTAATTACCATTTACAGCAAGAAAAATCTCTGCTAATCGTTGAACAATGCAGTGATTTTTGGGTATATTAATATATCATTAGGAGTCACTTTTATCGTTATGTTCATTTATCAGAAGTAGGGGGACAGAACTTATGGGAAGAACCCTAGGGCCCATGACCTATTTAGTCTTAGGTTCTTGGCCTCATTAATAGTGTCATGTATGGATTATATCTCAGAGCAGGCCTTAAATCCAATTTTAGAAAGTAGCTGGGTACTTCTGTAACATTTGTGCTACTATTGCACTAGGGGGCATGTTGTAGGCAAGTTGCTATTGTAACTCAAGGGTCTATAGCTGAGTGAAATTGATGATTTCCTTTCTCCTCACTAGTGACTTGACTTTCAGGATGAAGAAGGTAATCAATGTCATTGACAACAGCATGTAAGGTTTGGGGGGCAGTCTATAAGACTCCTTTGATCAACAACTCAAAAAGATGTAACCCATTTCTGTCACTGTGGGTTTTATTTAGTAGCATATGATACCCATTTAGCGTAATTTCTTTGCTATTCTTTAGATATGGACTCTCATGCAATTGCAACTTCATATAAGCTGGAACTGAGTTTACCTCAAAGGCTTTATTTGCACATTCAGTCACTGTTCAAGGACAATGCAAACATCTGGGAGCTAAGAACAGTTAGAGTTCTTTAGATATGGGTTTCCTTATGGTCTCATTACTTGATCTGTCACCATGGCAGCTTCATGGAAGTTAAATTTCTCACATGGTAGCAAAAGACTTTCAGAATGAACGTCCCAAGAGCAAATAACAGAAGCCCCATGTCCTTTACTCCCGTGTCAAAGTCATACATCACACTAAAGCCTTTCCTACTATGTTCCTTAGTTCACTGAAGCAGCCATAGCCAGTTAGTTTTACAGGTTGAGAAGGAGAATCTGCCATTTAGTAATAGTATCAAAAACTTGGTTAATAGGTTTTCAACCAACCACAAATATATTTATATGGTAAATAATGGAGTTGAAAAATAACATGGACTGTTGTGAGTTGGGTACTCT